ATAAGGTGCCTAACAGTTAAAATTGTGTCCTAACACTAATGAAAGTCAAATACTCCTATAAACCAATACCAGACCCGACTAATTTTGTTTTATGAAAATTGTTAACCTAGCCTATAGTCTAACATGAACATTTAGGAGATAAATTGGTTGCATGAAATTTGAGAAGATGCCTTTGTTTCACACCTATATGCACACATAACGACGCATGCACAAAGAAAGTGCAAACTTGGTCATAATAAATAAAACCAAGAGAAAACTATCATTATTGATTTATTTACCAAAAAGAAAACAAATTTGTTGTGTTGTTACATGGCTTCTCATGATTAGCTTCTAACTAAGCATGCTTACAAATGTTACTAGTATCTACGCATACGCTTAAAAAATGTTGGGGAAGTGTGTTTTTGGCCACTTCATATCTCATGAGCTCCATTGGAGGTGGTCCTAATATAACGCCTTCTTGTTTATTCAACGCTTGATAAATATTATGTGATGTTGAGTTGATTTAAGGAATACCTATATATCTTATGAAATACAACCATATAATTGTAAGTTTCTCTACCAGGCAATCTATGAAATACAATCATAAAATTGAAAGTTTGTCTTTAGGGATTTTATTAGCTCGACACTGTAGGAGTGGCGTTCTCTGTAATTAACTCTAGCCAAGAGTATTGATTTGACCTTCCTTCAATAGAATAAAAGCTCCATGATATTCTCTGATGATGTTCATATTTTTCGTACTAAAATGTCTTTTGAGTCTGTGTCCTCTAGGTGAAAGCTTAATGGTGCAGATATTTGGTTCATCATCTTCTAGTTTATCTAGAGAAGGTGAAGATGGTAAGCAAGGGGATCACTCATTAGTTTCACATAAACAAAGTGGTTTCTCTTCTTCTCCAATTGTTGTCAACTCCAGAAAGAATGTTCCTAACATACTGAAGAAGTAAGTCACATCACTAGTGATGTCTGTACTCCATTGAATTGCCGAAAAAACACACATATATAATATAGACATACATATGTAGAGATATGGTCTTTGTAACTTATTTGCAAATATGTAAATGTCTGTTAAGCCTTTGTCAAAATATGAACAACTAACTAATAGAGTCCTGTAGGCTTTCTGTCTTTCATGTACATTCTACAAAATAAACATTACATTTATATGTTTTGAAATGGAAGTTGAGAACTTTGATTGTACTCATTTTCTTTTTCTTACCCAAGCTCCAAATTATTACTCACACAGTAACTAGTGGTTTGCAAGTTGAAACATTTGTTTTTAAGTTTTTCTTCTTTTTTGGGTCTTTGGGGTTTCCTGTTATGTGCATATATTCTTTTGTTTGGATGGCATGCCTTTGTCTTTTCAACAAGTCAAGTTGAGTTGAACTTTCATGCATGCTCTGCATAAGGAGTATGAGTCAGTTAACCAACTCATTCACTGTGACATTGCTAGAGATCTTTGGGCAATAAGTTTTTTTTATTATAGTTAGAGGGGGAGTAGAGTTGGAAAGAGAAGGGAAGCTTCTTGATTGCTAGCTTTACTCTGTCGTGTCGTGTGGATTGTTTTCAAAATTAAGAGTAGATTTATTTATTTATTTATTTTGATGAAAAGCAGGACAAGGGGGAAAGTGAATCCTTCGTTGGTTCAATTTGTGGACTTCATAGAGTCTTTTAAATAACTAATGGCCAAGGCATCCATAGGGTTCTTGCTCTAGCTTTCTTCGAAACTAGTGGTCTCAATTTTTCTCTATTTTCATATGACACCTGCAACTTCATCCAGGCAATAAAGAATTTGAAGATAGCTACAGATCAGCTCATTGGTTGCACAAAACACACCTATCAAAGGAAAAATATGAACAATTGTATTGCATTGAATTTTTAGGTTATAGAGGATATGATATACCCTTGATATGATTTGAAGGGGAAATTGCCACAAGATTGAGATAGATATGTTAATCAGCTTTGATCATTTGATATTTTCATTTTGGAATATGATCAGAGAAGAAAGGATAGGCTTATTATAATAAAGGTAAAAATAAAAAAATAAAAAAGAAGATGTGGGAATTTAACGTAAGTAATTGAGTGTGAATGCTTTCAGAAATCAACAAATTGTGAAAATTCTATAGGCTATAATATTGCACAGGGGGTCTACTAAATATTCATCTTTGTCTAGTGAAAATTCGATAGGCAGTAATACAGCAAGGGGGTCTACTAAATATTCATCTTTGTCTAGGTGTAGTCTGGAGGGGGAGAGCATCATAAGCAAATGGTGAAGCCTATCACCTCAATGATCAATGAAGTACAGAGCCAACAAGTCTAGAATCGTTACAACAATGACCAAAAAAGTGAATCAGGCTTTTGGCTATGAGAGTGGTGAAACATATTATCATCCATCCTTTACATATAGTAGAATTCAAAATGCATTTGTTTGAGATCTGGACGAGAATGAAAGCCTGTAAGTGGTTAAGTCAAGGAGACCAGTCACATAAGCTCCTTTAGAGATAGAGGTAGCAAGAGGCACTATCAACCAACATTTATTTGCCCAGGCAAACAGTTGGTTTAGACACCATTCTTTAGTAGGTAATAGTTATCATTTTTCAATGCCAGTGACACCAAAAGCACATGGATGGAGATAGAGTAGAGGCATTTAAGGTGAAAGGAAAAGAGCTAGCAACCAACACTCAAAAGCTTATTAATGTCCTCTTGATAGACAAGTACTAAACACACATACTTGGATCTTTGAAGCACCAACACTGAGAACTTCCAAGCTCTTGTTATAACAACACAAGTGCCAAATCAGAACCACTAAAGATATCACGACATGAATTATGGGTTGCAGTGGCGTATTTTTAACGACTTTTTTTTAAATGTCACTGTTTATAACATTTAACGACGTTTCAAAAACGTCACATTTTTCTTTAAGTAAAACAACCCCGTTTCAATAGAAGACATTTATAAGCGCCTGCAAATAGGTCATCTCTCACATGCTCCCTCTCTCCCTCTTTTCACCATTTTTTTTGAATGTCCAAATCTCGAGCGCTCTTTCTCTCTCTCTCTTTCTCTCTCTCTCCCTCTCTCTATGTGTGTGTGTGTGTATGTGTGTACAGTCTAAACCCCATTAATATCTCAGAGCCATTTCGAACTCCACTGTCTCAAAATCAAAGTTCATCTCAAAATCGATTCAGATCGGTGAGGTCATCTCTCTCTCTCTCTCTGTGTGTGTGCTGTCTGAACCCTAATTAGATTCATAGATTCAGATCGATCTTAGGGAAACAGATCGGTGATTCAGATCATTTTGAAGTTCGAAGTTCTCTCTCAAAATCGAAGTTCAGATCATTTCAGATCAATGATTCAACCATTTAGAAGTCCTCTCTCAAAATCGAAATCGAAGTTCATCTCAGCGATTCAGATCAGTGAGCTCCACTCTCTCTCTCTCTCTCTCTCTCTCTCTCTCAAGCTAAACTGATGGTGCAATCTCGATTTGGTTGTTGAAATCAATCTTGTGAAATCCTGCGAATGGTTTTGATATTGGATTTGAAACGATCCTGTCATATCCTTCATGCTTGTTCAACATGGCTATTATCATTCATGCTTATTCCATAACTAATATTGAATAAAGGAAGCCCAAATGGCCTACAAATTAGAGAGAGCAATGTCAGAAGGAAGAAACTTAGTCCACCACATCCTAAACTTTGATGTGGCTCAAATCTATGCTATACACTTTATTTTTTAGGTATTTTTTTTATAGCTTTATCTTCTAAAAAATTACTAATCATAGGTGTAAAATTTTTAAAACTCTACCTTACTTATTTAACTTTTTTTTTAGCTTTTTTAATAATCAACAGAATTATAGAAGAGTTGTACTGATCTTATTATTATAGATTATGCTTCTACACATTTACCTTACATCACACACACACACACACACACACACACACAAAATTAAGAAAAAAATTAAGAAAAAAAAAAGATATTGAAATTATTTATTTAGATTTGATTTAACTACGTGATCAAAACAGGAAACATGATGTTAAGAAGTAGTTTTTAAGCATAATGCTACAAACATAAATTCACTGTGGAAACAGAAAAATGCAAGTATGATGCGTGCAAACCAGAGGACTGTATGCAACCATTCCAATCCTTAGTTCTTTGCTTATATCAAAATAACGATGGCAAAGAGTAGAAAACACTGGATTCTTGTTTATTGCTTGCAAAACTGACTTGTTAACATAACAATAGTACCTCTACACCTCACTTGCAAGTCGGAATGATTTCTTCCTCTGCATATCTTATCCACAAGGACCACTCCAACTGCGTTGTTGTTAGATGTAGCTAGCTTCACACCTCTCCATCATTCTCTCCCAAGTTTTCAAATGTCTTGAAAACATTTACATAATATGATTGCAGTAAAATGACTTTGATCATATAGATAGAAGTCAGATTACTCCACCACAATATAGCCTTTATGTTTCTACTCGTTTTGTTTGTTTTTTGTATGAGTGTGTGATTCTAGTATCTGTTGTAGACTTTTACATTCTATCGGTGTGAATGAGTTAGGAAAATTTATTTGTGGGTATTGTTGAAACTATCGAATTTCTTTTGTTAGTTTAAAATGAAATTGAGATTTCTATTCAATTTGAGGAAAGTTGTGCGATAATATGTTTGTTACACTTGTAGCAAGTTGGACCTAGAACTCTAGAGGTCTTTGCATTTCTTGACTTTTTGAGGTTTTCTTCCTATATTTTGACAATCCTGTGCCTATTTATCAAGACAAGGTAAAAAATAATTAAAATTTTAAGCATCGTATTGTCTTCAATTGGATTTGGTACTTAATTTTGAGCATAGAGGAGACTTGTTTTTGGCATTTGGTTGCTTTATAATTCACCTTTGTTTAGGTTGAAAGTTAAGAAGACATGAAACTTCTTGTAGTCAATTCGTTTTTTTAAATACTATAAATAAATAGATTTTCTCAGTCTATCAAATTATTTGTAAGATTATTGTTGCTTTTGTCAGTCTATCAAATTTCATTTTTCTTTCTTTCTTTCATTCAATGTCCTCACTCTCACACTTTCTCACTCTCTTTTTTGTTTCTTTTTATTCCATCTCTCTCAATTGCCGATACTAAAGCACCTTAGCATTCTGATATCAGGGTTCTAGGGAAGAACTGTTTACAGGTATTTTTCCAATTCTTCACAGACTTTGGTTGCAAACTTCAAAATAGACTTTGAGATTTTATGAATTATGAATTTGCTTTATATATTTTGATCAGCAAAAGATCCAAACTTTATTGGTGAAAACCAACTTACAAAAGATAGATACTATGAGTTGAGATTTGAAATTATATGTATATACTTCAAAAAACAAAATAAAAAACAACAAAAACAGTTTATATTTATTTCTCAGATGTAGAAGACAACCTCACAAGATTTATGTTTTTTTTTTTTTTTGACATTGGCTAGGTGAATTCCGATTCGCAATGGTGAATATCAAAGCTTTCAAGAGATTTCGTTTTGTCCACACATGGAAAAACCAGGATCATCTTCCTTTGGCAGTCCTATATACTCTCCTCAAATGGATGTATGGTTCAATTATAAACCCAACCTACAATACATGCATATATATCTGTTTATATATATATATATATATATATATTTTGATCGGGAAAGAAAATTTGTTTATATATATATATATTATTTTAAAAAAAAAAGTTTGACTACAAGAAGTTTCATGTCTTCTTAACTTTCAACCCAAATAGAGGCATCCATGGAGGTGAGCAATTATTTGATCAAAGCCTTTTTGAAAATACAAGACCTTATTAATTAAAATACTTGTTCTTATTAAATGTAGTTTCACCTTTCAAAGAAAGAGAAGAAGAAGAAGAAGAAGAAGAAGACGAAGAACTAACAAGGCAAAAGTACCATTAGAAAAAAAAAAAAAAGGACCATAAGGACAATTTATATCCACGTTTGTGATCTAGGAATTTGATTGTTTTAACATTGGCTTCTTTTTAATTTTTAAATATTTTTTTTCATAGTAGTTAAGAGACTTTTATCTCCATTGAAAAGGACAATAGAAAGTAGCCTTCATTAAATACCTAACAAGTTGTATGTATCCAAGTTTCTGATCTAGGAACCTGATTTGGAAATTGCTTTCACTCCCTCTGTAATGCCTTCAATTGTCAAAATAGTAGGTATGGTTATAGTGTTGGTGGTTGGTGGTTGGCGACAGTGCTGTAATGAAGGGGGAGTTGGTGGGCATAGAAGATAAGGGGAGGACTTGGGAGAAAATCTATCAACACATAAAAGAAAACCCAAAAATTATCATCTTGACCTTAGATTGTATATTCTAAATAATTTTCTAGTTTCTTTTTCTGTGTATCTATCTAGACATGCTCTTAACAACATCTTAATAATGTATGGATTTTTTATTTATTACCTCATTCATTGATGACACTGAGTTTTAACACTCTTAGATGTTAATAAAATATCAAAAATTAATTGCTACAATTATTATTTTGGCTGTCTTGGATTCTTGATTTTTGCTTCCACATTGTTGGATGACTTGATTGCTTGAACTATTCTATGTTTATATTGATTACTATTTCATTTCAAAATTTAATGTTTTTAAATATTACAAGTGATGATTTCCCTTGGTTTGATGTTCTCCAATCAAATATTAAAACATACATTTACATGATTCAATGCAATACATAGTCCTCTTTTTTTTTTCTTTTTTTTTAAATATATATATATATATATATATATATTACAAGTGATGATTTCCCTTGGTTTGGTTTGCTTACCTCTGGATGATGTGCAACTGTGCAGGGACTGTCAAGTGTCATTTGTGAGGTGTGACTGATGTTTTCATTGATGTACAGATGATAGCATGGCAATCTTCATGGCATTCTAAAGTCCACAGCTAGAGGTTTTAGGCTTAACCACAATATTTGGTAATGTTACTACAGAAGATGCCACTCGCAATGCATTGCTTCTGGTATGTGTTTAGTTTATTCTATTTTCCAACACAGTAATTCATGCTTTGTCATAATTTCAGGTCTTTCATATTTTTGGAACATGTTCATGACCAATAACTATTTTTAATGTTCAAAAGGATAGTGTGAGATTGCTGGATGTCCAGGTCTTCCTGTATGTAGCAGAGGGTACCCCTGAGCCTTTGAAGGTAACTGCATTTACATATAATTTGTGGCTTAATCAATGAGTTGTCCTTTATTCCTTCTACATAATTAGACTGTGCCAAAACTTTTTTTCCCTCCTTCTAATAACATGCTCAACGAGTTGGTGAAGTTTTAGTGAAATAGGGATATCTGTAAACAAATTTTTATTTGGTTATTACTGTGCTAACCAAGGTTTCTTTTTCCCATTTTGTTCTTGAAAAATATTATTTATGCATTCTATTTTTTAGATAAACTCAGAGATTTCACAGCTGAACTTAAGCTTTCCCTTTTCCAACTTGGAATCAATCCTCAGATTGCTGCATCAATTCTCATGCAAGTCTGCTGTTCTTTTATCCTCAAGTTTACATTTCTTGTCCATTAATTAAGACAATTATGATTGTCCTTAGAAAACCATGTTCGATCCAAAAACTGAACTTGCAGAGGATTTACTTCTCATTTGATCTTTCAGGAGGATTTACTAATACTAGATTATTTAATATCACCATTTTTTTCCCCTTGAGTTACAATGATTATGCTACTGATGATGATCAATATGAACAAAAATTGAAGAAAGAGACTTGGGTATTTTTCATGTTGGCAACATAAGATAGATTTGTAAATTTTCTTATCTGGAAATGCACGACATTTTTTTAACAAATTGAACTTTGTGGAGGTGAGACATTTATTTAATCTACATTTGAGCTGGTCACTATAGTTATGGAGGTGGAGAGCCAACTGATAATGCTGCAAGATTCTACAAATGGTTTATTGAGGTGGGTAGTTTTGTCACTATCGAACTAACTTTAGTAGTGCATTGTTTTTAGAAATTTGCATGAAGAGGTATTGGAAATGTTTTTAGGAAAATGAAAGGGGAGCCTGGCTTCAATAGCTTACATATGGTGTCTTCAGTCTGCGTAACCGTCAATATGAACATTTCAACAAGGTAAATTCGTTATATATTCATATCAATCCATTACTTCTCTTTCTGTGATTCTTTCATTCTTGTCTTTTTTGTCCAATTTTTTTATCTATCACTGAGCATATTTTGGAAGATCCGTAGCACACCATAATATTGTTACTGAGCCAAATATACTCAATGACTAGTCACTGGTAATTGTAAATGCAATGTTTTATATTGGAACTTCTTTCTAATTGCCTCAATAATTTTCATGTGTATGTTAATCAAATCAAGGACATGACATTGAAACTAATAAAAGTGTAGTGTTGAGAGCTATATCATTTCATCCGTTTGGCTATTATGGAGTTTTAGTGTTTCATTTGTCTTTGGAATTTTAGGATGATGCAGTGAAGAACCTAGTGACTAAGTGTAGACGCGTCCCGAGGGTTTTTTGCTACTACAGTTCGGACTCAAATGTCACGGTTCTTAATCTGATCTCGTAAAGTGTAATGCAACACTAATAAATCACCAAAGAGTCCAAATCCGACAAATCGTTTTGGAAAACTGATTTTTAAGAAAGAAATGTCAAACATGGACTGCTTTGCCAGATACAAAGTCACCACCTAAATGTTTTGTTTTGAAAAATTTAGGAAACTCGTACCTAAGGCCACGTGTCCATCATCACCAAAGTTGCCTCGGCTCGGGAACTTAGGTACGAGAGGGGAAGGTCATGCAATGAGCACCCCCGCTCGCCCGATCCAAGATCGGCCTTTACTAAGCATGATATCTTATTTTTGAAAACACATGTGTTCTTATTTCGGTTATTAGCTAGAATTACTATGTGATACGCACAACACACAAGTATAGACTAGATCGCCTAAGTTGGAACAAAACATCTCATGTTTGTTTGTTTGAAAATGGTTTGAAGGTGCTACTCGCAAGTAGGCTAAGACGTGGATTTGCCACCCTCGAGTGGGCTTAAAACACATATTTCAATGAATTGTTCCAATTCAAGTAACCTAACCTTCACCCACAAGCATTCATACAGTTATATCATCTAAGCAAGTAGCCTCATGGCAAGCATGCTAAACATGGAAACATACACATCTCATGCAGTATGCTAAATCGTAAACACTCACAGTGTACTCCGAGCCAAAACAGAGAACTAGTTAGAAATCATGCATGATCCTAGTTCATGTTAAGATGGCTAATGCAATACATGCAAAATGCAACTAGAAATAGGCTCGGCTATTCTAAGATGGCATATGAGATGCAACTTGATAATCATGTATTCAAATAGGAATTGAAATACAATGCAGTTTGTATGATGCGCTGAGCCCAGTGCATGCAAGACATATGAATGGATGCACGCATGCAAGCATAAGGATGCTAATTGAAACATGCCCTAAAACTAACCACTGAAAGCAGGTAAGTAAAAGGGAGAAAGACGAGGGGTTGGAAGACATTCACACACTCATGCACACTTATTACAAAAGTTTGCCCTCTCGACGGAGGGTCCGAATAAATAATTCAAACCGACTAATTAATTAACTACCCTAGCTAATTAATTATTACAAGACTCTTAACTAATTAAACAAATTAATTAAGTTACAAAACAGACTACGTATGAAATTAAAGAGGCTGCCACAGCTCCGCCTCGGAATGATTGAATGATGCATGCTCGATCGCCTTACTCGAAAATCCGTTGCCATGCCTCATGTTGCCTCTGTTTGCACACTTTTAGACTTCTGAAAACTGTGCTAACCTCCAAGATGATTCTGATCCACCTTATGGACATGCTGAGAGGTGGTCGGCCAAGGGGAGTGGCCATCGGCCAGAATAAAATGATCATCGACCAATTTTGTAGACGATCGGCAGACTTTTATGGTTGATCGGCAGCTCTGATGGTCGATCGGCCAATACTTCTTGCAAATTCTCCTTTTTGCTGCAACAGAGCACAAACAAGGGCATGGCGGTGCATTTGCAAGGTATGTGTGCACAACCACCCTCCCTATCATTTCTCAAGCTCAAAGGAGTGTGGTACTTGACTCTCGAGCCATCAATCACGCATCTCAATGCATGATGGCCAAAGAGTCAAGCTTGCACAAACTCAATAAATGCATGACAAACAAGACACTTGGACCATCACCTTATCATGGATAATCAAAGGCAATGGAGACAAAGGGGATTGGCCTATTTTCATCACTTTAAGTATGAAATGGACCAATTCACTTTGTGTTCAACATAACGTTCGGTTGAACACAATGCAATGTACACATGCAACATGCTGATCTTGGCACATTTTACTTGATTGATTTTGTTTACACATTTTAACATTACCAATCCATTCATTAATCAAATTGTCCAAATATGAGAGTCCTCTAATGAGAGAGAGATCTATCAAAGAGAATGGTTTAAGACATGGGAGAGACTAATGCCTTTGACTAGGAGTAACCCTCAATGGAGGGTTGAAGCCATTTAAGCATAGGCCTCAATCCCTTGCATTAAACTCAAACTCAAGACTAACCAATCCTCAAAACAAATCAAAAGTGAAGAAATGAGGAGGATGGCAGATTTTCAGTGCTAAAGTGGCATGAAATGCAAGACTCTACTATGCAAACACTTCAAGTACAACATGCTAGTAGGCTTAAACATTGAAACTAGTGAAGAACACAACATTAGAACCATGCAATACAAGGCTCAATGGAGTAAACCAGCTATGGACAGAGCTTAATCACATCAAAATAATGGCTTAAACATGCTGGAATTGAAGCTCAAAAGGCTAGACAAACATGCGCACAAATTGGCCCACAAGCAAGATATAAGGCATAACTCCCAAAAGCACTTAAAGAGTGATTTAAGTGGAAGTATGGCAAAGATATGAGCTCTGAAATTTCACACCAAATGATGCCATATCAGGCACACATCACAAATATAGCATGCTAGTGGTCTCAAAACTCAAGACGAGTCAAGGCATTTGCACTATAGCTATGTAATGCATGAAGCATATGGCCGATACAACCCAAAAGGGTCCTAGAGCATGCCAAAACAATGACAAAACATGCATGGAGCAAAGCCAAAACAAGCTAGCATGAAGGGTCAAAACATGGAGTATGTAAGGCCAATAAGGAGGTTTACACTACACCTACCAAAGCCAAGCATGTGATGACTTTACCAACAAAAATTAGAGTTATGGCATGTCAAACTAACACCAAAAATGGGCTAATACCAAGTCAACACATGCTAGAATAACAAGCTCACTCATTAGGCATACAAGACTAGTAAAGAGGATTTACACTACAAGTGTAAGAAGCAAATGAGGGATGCCCTAACCAACCAAAAACAGAGTTATATCATGGCAAAATAAGACCCAAAATACATTGAAATGGTGGTCCAAAAGCCTAGGCAAGATGGCATACACATGGGCTCTTTTTTAAGACATAAAGCATGAACCCTTCAAAGCATTGAAGGAGTGAAACATGTGAGTGCATGAAAATGAAACATGCTCTGAAATATCATTTCAAATGATACTAAACCATGCAAATAGCCCAAGCAATGCATGCTAGTGGCTTGGAAACTCAAGGCTAGTGAGCTAAAATGTACTATGGCTATACAAAGCATGGCATGCATGACCAAAACAACATAAATCAGACCTTAAGCACGCTAAAACATGACCAAAAGCTTCTTGGAGTTAAGCCAAAATCACACTAGAATGATGGTCTAAAGCATGATACACATTAGGCTAGTGAATGGAAATGCACTACAAGTGCATGGAGCATGCAAGAGGCCATCAAACCAACTTTAGATAGAGTTATGACATGCTAAATAATGACCAAAAACATGCTGAAATGGAGCCCATACATGCTTAACAAACATGCTACTTCATGAGGCACATAAGGCTAGTTTGCAAGAATTACACTACAAGTGTATAAAGCATGCATATGGTGACCAAACCAGCCATGGACAGAGTTAAGGAAGGTCCTAAAAGTCACAAAAAAGTGTCTGAACTAAGCCTCAAAATGGTAGAAACACATGCTCTTTTGGAGGGCCATCAATACAAGCAAACAAGAGAAGAGGAGAGGGGACAACCCCCTCCTATTTTGAGCCTCAAAACAAGTTTTCTACCACTGAAATTCCTTTGGAATTCAGTGGTTTTAAGGCCAAAAGGATGTTGTTTGAAAAGTTTGAAAGTTAGCTCATAATGCCTTACAAGCCAAGGAGCAAAAGGGAGGACAACCCCCTAGCCAACCAAGGCAAAACCAAGACTTTTAGGACTAAAAAACAGAGGTTTTTGTAGTTCAACACCACCCCAAAAAATAGCCCCAAAGTAGTGTGCAAAGGTGGTGAAATAAGTGTGCAAAACAAATACAAAAGAGGAGAGGTGCTTACCCTTGTAGCACAACAGCAAAAGGGGTCCAAACTCTGAGCTAAAACCTATTTTTGGAGCTCAAAATGATCCTCAAAGAACCTCAGCCCAATGGTGGTTGAGTTTTATCAAGGATGCCTAGGCAAAGGTGAGGTATATCTTCAAGTATACCTATTGCATGCACACAAGGTCAAGAGGGAGAGCAAGCTTGAGTGAAAAGCTGAACTTTTGCTCTGAAATTTCTAGAGAGAAAGAACTTTTCTAGAGAGAGAGGCTCCTAAAACTTGTTCAAGAAGTTCAACCCTTTGAAAAATGAGAGATATAGCCTCATATATAGCAAAAATGAGCTCAAGGTCAAAAAATCTGACTATAGGACAGCTAGAGCTTGCTGGAAACAGCTGGAGGATAATTATCTGTCAAAAATCTGAGTTTTGGACACTTTTGGCTGACCGGCCATCTTTAGTGCCGACCGGCCACCATTTGTGGCCTATAAGGTTCACTTTTGGCCGACATATAGCTGTTGAGGTCAAATTGTGGCCGATGGACCTCCATAGAGGCCGATGGAAAAATTAGCCCTAGTCCTTGACTTGAAGCAAGCCTAATTCCTTCATCTGGACCCCGTTTTAGGTCATTCTTGAGCCTAAACTGTAGCCCCAGAAGTCTTCTTTCCAAATTTGGAAGCCTCACCTCAAAATTCCAAGGGTGCTAAGAGATATCCCTCTTTTAGTGAAGGCTGCTCAGTTTCGGTCCAACCGAAATGATGCCCAACTTCAACCAATCATATCTCCCCCATCCGGACTCAGTTTTAGGAGATTCTTAAGTGAAAAATGAAGCCTCGGAAGTAAGATTTCCAGCAGTGGTGGTCTCATAGCTTAAACCCAAATATACCAAAGGATAGGCCCAATTTAGCGAGGGCTGCTTGACTCTCTCTTAGCGATTCATGCCCATCTTCTTCTCCAACTTGGTTTCTTCCCTCTACTCCTTTTTTATTCAACTCCAAACCCCTAAACAAGGTGTTTTGAAATATTTTTCAAAGATTTCATCTCTCTTTCATTCATTTCCACTTTGTCATCGCTCAGTTTACTAAAAAGCGCAACATTTAACGAAATGCAAGCCTCGGAACATCGTAGGAACTTTATTTCAAAGATATTTTGAAAGAGAGGATTTTAAGGTCTAAAAACCATTCAAAATAGCTTTGGTCCAAAATGGGGTGTGAGGTTTGGATTTGACTCTCCTTTCGCCGAAGAAATCGAACCATTTGCCCTGCACATCTTTCATCACCAAGTAAACCATCAGTAGCGCCCAAGTCTTAAGGGCGGTCAAAAATTGGGTGTCTACACTAAGTTACACTCTGCTAAAGTTAAGCTTGATTTGGTAACACAAACAAAATCCAAATTTGTTTTGGAGAATAGCAAGGTCCATATATTAAATTTCGATTCCTATAACTTGAGTGGATGTTCATATATTAAATCAAAATTTGTTTTGCAGGATAACAAGGTTCATATATTAGTAGTAGTCCCCCCATTCTGATTTCTATAGATACTAAGGGTAGATTTTTTTTTTTTTGCCATTATTATTATTGTTTATTGTTTATTTTTTTGCTGACCTTTAAGTGTTTTGAATTGCCTAAAGAGTTAATCTAGCGGTGTTTTTAAAGCTTCATAATGCTACAGTGACGGTCGCGTCTTCAGTGTTTGGTACTAAACGTCACAAAAAGAATTAGCGACGTTTTTTAAACGCCACTAAATGTAAAATTTCCAGTAGTGTATGATCTTTGCACATTACTATGCCATGACCAACTTAGCATCGAGATCTTTAACCAGTTCAACTGCGAAGTTTGTGTATTTGTGTGGAGGCAAGACATCCTCATTTCGCTTCTCTATACTCTAGTGATTTTGTACACGAGTATTTCCCCTGGGAATGATGTGGTGGATGAGGTTAAAACTCTTGTAAAGCTTCAAGCAATCTCCTTTTACTACTGCCATCTGCACAATCTTGCTTTCCTCATCAATACTCACCTTCTCCTCTTAAGTTCTCCATATTCCCTTCTATTTTTCGCATCAACATAACAACTATGTGTAAAGTCTAGCTAATATTAAAAAATGTCTAGCTAATATTAGTTAAAAAAAGGTCTAATTTATGGGGGAATGGTAATTTCATAAAATTATTATAGATTTATGAAAAAGTTTATGATTTTAATTATTAATATTTGAACAAAAAATTTTCTTAATTTATGTCATTGTTCTAGGACTTGGATTCCCTCCAGTCTGTAATCTCGAATGGTGAGTATTGTCCGGGCCTGTGAGATCTACTATGGGTTTTGTTTCGATAATCCAAATAGTTTACTTTTTAGAGTTTTTCATATACATCATACAAGTAAAAAAAATTGAACATTTGACCTCCTAATGAGGTGCACAAACTCTTGGCTAATGGGTTAACCCAATTGGTTCTAACTCACAAGTCTCCTAACCACTATAAAATAGTGAAACAAATGCGGTGACAAATATCATTTATCTTCTTAATTCTTTTTAATAATGTGCAACAATTTTAGTTATATGCTCATCGATGTGTACCTGTTTTTGTGCATGGACATGTTGAATGGAGGAGACCAATAGAGATATATTTATGTAATAAACAACACTAAAAGGCTTTTTAATGCTATACATAAACAAGTACTCAACTTGCAAACTTGGGTTTTTGAAGCACCAAAGTTGGAGCTTCCAAACTCTCATTACAACACAAGGGTTAAGTCATAACCCGTTCATTCATGTTGCAATACAATGCAACCAAATTATACATGCACACATGTGTATAAACTTTGCATATTATTATGCCATGACAAGTTTAGCATCGAGATCTTTAACCAAATCAATTATGAAGTCCATATATTTTTGTGGAGGAGGGACATCCTCATTTCGCTTCTCGTACTCTATAGTGATTTTGAGGACATTGGTCTCTCCTTTAGGAATGATCTGGTAAATGATGTTATAGCTCTTGTAAAGATCCAAGCAATGTCCCTCCACTACAGTCAAATGAATTGTTTTGTTTTCCTCATCTATGGTGACCTTCTCCTTAAAAGTCTCCACCTTTCCCTCTATTGCGGATGAACATATAAGAACAATGTGAAATCATAGTTAATAGTTGTTTAAAGATTGCCTCATTTTTGAGGAATTTTTAGGTGCTAGGAGGTAGATGCCACATCGTACCTTCCTTTATTTCAATTGGATTTGACAATAGGATCTATTACATTTATATTGAGTGTTTAGAAGACTACAGAGGATATACACATTTGTAATTAGTGAAAAGTATCACTTGGCAGTACCACATGTACCCTCCCAGCATAAAAAAATTTCTCCTCATTTTTACTTGGGGAAATTATTTTATAGTGAAATAGAAAAGAATAATTTACACAAACATGGAGTTGCACTTTGGAAAACATTTTAATAGATCGGTGTCATTTGGTACAACAAAAAATAATAGGCAACGAAAAGTAAGCCTATTTGGATATAAAATATTTTTTACTAGTGAAAAATGTTTTTCGAACTAATGTTTTATTAATGTCACCACATTAACAATCACCACCACAGTTACGACCACCATCACTGTCGTTACCGTCACCGCCACCACTATCCCTACCACCAACATCACCACTACTGTCACACCACTATCGTCACCACCCCCAACACCCCCACCCACCTCCACCTGTTGCCACCACTACCATCATCACTAATACAACAATTAATATAGTATTTTCAATTAACGCAACTAAATATAAGAAAACATTTTTTTATGAAATAATATTTTTTGAAAAAAAAAATTTCTGTAAAGAAAATATTTTCTGTCCGAATAAACAGAGGTTTAGTGAACATACCTGTAACATAAGTCCAGACCTTGATGGATCCATGATCTCCCCATTCACCTTCATGTAAGTCTAGTTTGGATACTTTATCAGGGCTCAAGTTTGGTACTGTATGTGCTTTTTTACCAGAACCTATTTCGAAAAGTTCATCAGCATCACACTTGATCTCTACTTCACCCTCCATCTTACCACCAAGATCCACTTTTACGTACACACCCCCAAGTAAGACTTCCAACTCTCAAACAAAAATAGAGAACACTCACTCACTCACACAGGTTGAAGAAAATATCTTGACAAGTTGGCCCTTATTATAGAGGCACTAATGGTTAATAATTTGCCACGTGCCCTTCTTTTCCTCGTAGAAAAAGTGATGAATTTAAAGAAAAAATTCACCTTGTCCCACCGAAACTATCAAATTTGTCATGTTTTAATCTTTCAACTATCAATTTGAATAATTGTACGGTTAAACTATTGATATTCAAATTTATATCTATCTATTCAAATTTTTTAACTATTTGTTTAATTTTTTTCCCTTATCTATTTAAAATTTTACTATCTGTTGAAATTTACCCCTGCCCATGATTTATTGAATTTTTACATCTCTGTTATCTCTCTCTCTCTCTCTCTCTCTCTCTCTTGAAATTCTTATTTTTAACTTATCTATATGTTGAAATGTGAAATTCCTTTATCTGTTCAATTTCTTTGCTTCCTTATTTAAATCTATTTGTCCAAATTTTATTATCTATTTTTTCACTTACCTGTTTAAAGCTATCTGTTCAAATTTTATTATTTGTACAATTTTTTCCCCTAAATTTTATTTGTTGATTTTTTTATTTGTTCAGAGTTGTTTGAACAGATCTTTTTTAATCTATTGCACCATAGGTTTTTTTTAATCTGTTGAAATATCTTTCTCAACAAAAAAAAAATTTATCTATTGCATCACAAATTCATATATACCACAGATTTTTTTTTATCTGTTGTAATATATTTCTCAACAACATCAACAAAAAGAAAAATCAACAACAACAAAAATTACACACATAAGGACAAGCGAAATAATTTAAGTAACATATGGACACGCGAAATAATTTAGATAGAATTACGTCAAACAACCCTTACGTTACTTATATAGAAACAAAACTTTGACAAAATAAATATAAATCATTAAAGACTTTTTTCAAGTTGATTCTCTAAATCACTAAAATTATTAGTTCATAAAATCTAAAATTACTCCACCCGTTATAAAATGATTTTTGATTATTTTCAATAAATATAACATGATACGAAAGGTAGGTTCAATAAACCAAGTCTCCATTGAGTCCATTTCTCCCATAGATTTGTTGCATTACAATTTAAATATATAAGAATTTTAGACATTAATTTTTTTTTAAATGCAAAAATTTTGATATAAAAAATATTTGGACTAATTTCTATCATTGCAAGAATAGTTGCTGACATATTATCTCAAATAGTAAAAAACAAGGTATTTAGAGACAATTTTTTTTAAATGTCACTAATTTGTCCCAAAAAAGGTTTTTTTTTTTAAGAAAAATTTTGATTCCTAAAAAAAAATAATTCATCATTAATGTCTAAATTTTGTTGCCAAAAATATAATAGTGACACTTTTGGCAATAAATATATTTGGCCTTTAAAAAGCGATTTCATCCCTAATTTTTGTCTTTAAAATTTTAAATTTGTTTGTTTTCAAAGATAAAGGGAGAAATTAGATTAATAGTGAGGTGAGGTTTATCAAAATCATGTTTAAAAGAATAGTTAGAGGGAGAGTAGAGCTGGAATGAGATGGGTAGCTTCTTGATTCTCTACAATAAAACTAACTATTTACGGCATCATGCTTACATTAAATGCATATCATAGTTAGTACATTTTACGACATTTTTTTTTTGCAAGCCGTTAATGTTTTGTCAATAACAGCATACATACCATGTAAGTCGTTAATTCATATATTTATGACATGCAAAAGTATGCCGTAAAAAATATAGGTTTTTACGACTTATTGGTTGCACAAAACACACCTATCAAAGGAAAAATATGATCAACTGTATTGCACTGAATTTTTAGGTTGTAGAGGATATGATATACCCTTGATATGATTTGAAGGGGAAATTGCCACAAGATTGAGATAGATATGTTAATCAGTTTTGATAATTTGATATTTTTATTTTGGAATATGGTCAGAGAAGACAGGATAGGCTTATTACAATAAAGGTAATTGTGGGGACATATTTTTTAGATAGCAACACGTGGCCAAGATGGCACCGAAGTACCAGCCAAAGTGCCACGTGTCCTTGACTTGACGTCGAGGTAATGTCAACTAGGCCGAGGTTATCTACGGAGATATCGGAATCCAAGATGAGCGAATAAGTTATAAGAGTCCTAGAATGAGGGGGGACTTCAACCAGGATAAGGATAAAGCTTTTAGGTAGTTTATCTTTATCTATTTGAAAGTCCTGGATGGGCATTGAGCTCGAGTCCATTGAAGCTAGGCTTATACAGGGATCAGGTCAGTGTTGATTGTAAAAGTAAGGCACCCTCGTGGGTCTAAGGTACGCTTTTTGTATTCTGAATAATGAGTTTAGCACTTTTGCTATCTTTGAGAGATAACTGACTTGATCGTTGAAGTGTCCCCGGGAGGACAAACCACCGCCAGTCTTTTTCTTTCTATGGCTGGTCTTTTGGGCGCCATCTATTCTGCCAGTGTTCTCTAGCTGAGTACCTGTTTGGCAGTGTGGTCAGAAACAACACACATATTTTGGCGCTGTCTGTGGGAAAGAAATGAGAATAGATGGCCAACGATGGACAGAAAGTTAAGGTTGGGAACGACATCCCTACTAGGAGTGGTAAGCACACTGACCCTAACATGGAAGAGGATAATTGCAACAAAGAAACTCGGGATCGGAATCCCAGAGAGAAAGACGTTGGCGAGGAGGGCGACGTGCCAAAAAAGTCAGACGGATGTGGGTATTATAACAAGGACGACCTCTAAGTATGGAAGGACAGATGCCTACGAAGGGACGGTGAGATGAAGGGACTGGCGAACAAATTGGTAGACCTGCAATCGGTCGTCAATTTCATGATTCTGAACAACTTCATGTAGCCACCATTCCCGTTACAAGATACGCCGATTCTAGCGGCTAGAAACAATACCCAAAAAGGGCAGAAAACAGTCCCTACAGTCCTCCAGCACACCAGGACCGAGGAACAGTCTCACCGGCCTTCAAGGGAGGTCAGGCAAGGAGAGTCAAGAAGGGGAGATTCTTGGAGGACGCATCGTACCAAGGAAGCTGACCCCAAATAACATCGTCATGTTCAAGGGAAGGAACTGTGTTTCGATGTAACTAATGGAGAAAGGTCCAAAAGGACTTATAACGATACTGGGAGCAGCGCACCGAAAAGGCTGAAATCCATTGATAGCCGAGCTCTTAGACGGACCAAAGAGGATCTGAGGGATTACCTCCAGTGGAAGCGACAAGATGCCGAGGTAACCTCTCCGGTCAAGCCGAGAACGCCGTTCTCGGTGGAGTTGGACAAATTTGAGGCCCCGAAAAGGTTCCACATGCCGAGATTCCAAATATACGACGGTAAGTCTGACCCTAACTTTCACGTCGGCTTGTACCTGAACTCAATGGCATTATACACCGGGAACGAACCGTTGCTCTGCAAGGTGTTCCTCTCATCCTTTGGAGAGATCGCATCAGACTGGTTTCACAAGTTGTCGAAAGGAACTGTGACAAGCTGGGAAGGTCTGGCCGAGATGTTCGTGGCCAGGTTTGTGACAAACAAACTACAGCCATTGAGGGTGGACGCCCTAATGGCTCTGAGAATTGGCGAGGATGAAAGCCTTAAGGCCTATGCCAAAAGGTATTATGAGGTGTTCAATCGAACACCAGGATGCAACCAAGAGGTGGCAATCATGTCTTTTAAGAACGGCCTAAAAGATGATTGCCTACTTCGAAAATCGCTGGCAAAGACATTGCCAAAAAGTATGAAGGAACTTATGGCCAGGATAGAAAAGTATGCCAAGGCCGAGGAGGACACGCCAGGGACAAAGGCGTCGAAACAAGAGAAGAAAAACGGCTTACCGAAGTGAGGCCGAGGTAATGGCGAATACAATAAGCAAGAAGCAGGACTAAGGGCTGCACAAGCAGTCACAACTATATTCCGAATTCCGGTCTACAAAGTTTTGGAAAGAATTCGGAATCAGCCCTATTACAGAGCACCAGAAAAGCTTCCTGGTGAATTTATGGAAAGAAGTATGGGGAAACATTGTGCCTTCTACAATGAGGATGGGCATCTAACTCAAGGGTGCAGAGCCCTAAAGGCACATTTGGAAGACCTGGTATGACAGGGTCATTTAGGAGACCTGATAGATGAGACCAGGACAAGGGAAGAGTAAGCGAGATTGCCTCAGGCACCGGTAGCACCACCTCCACTAGCACCGCAATCGCAAGTAGGCGGACCTCGAGTGATCAATGTGATTCACTCGAAGGTGAATAGGAATGAGATACGGGGGAAAACTCATAAGGTAAAACACCTCTAACATGTGTATCAAGTCCGACAGAAGAGACCTAGGGCAGACGAGTGCCAGGGACCAGTGGTGTCCTTCACTGAAGATGACCTAGAGATGGTGCAGCATCCACACAACGATGCCTTGGTGATATCCCTCCAGATTTGAGAGTGCCAGGTAAAGCGAATTCTAATCGACCAGGGTAGTTCTTGTGACATCATATATGTCAGATGTTACAAGGAACTTGGCATGCACCAAGATGATCTGGAACAATCCAATGGTTCAATGGTTGGGTTCAATGGAACGTCGACGTGGCCCCTAGAAGCAGTGAGTTTGGAGATGCAGGTTAGCACCAAGAAGGTAAAAACTGAGTTCACAATAATTAACACTCCCTCCCCTTACAATGCTATCTTGGGAAGGCCATGGCTGCATGCAATAGGGGTTGTTCCCTCAACATTGCACCAGCTGTCGCGATTCCCAACAGAGCATGGATTGAGGAAGTTAGAGGGGATCTAGTACAGGCACAGAATTGCTCCATGGCAGCAATGAAATCCACTTGCAACATACGAGAATTAGAAGCAGCATAGATTGAAGACGAGAACATGGAGGTCCTTGAGGACGTTGGCATAGAACCAACCGAGAAAAGTGAAGAAGCCTTG